CTATTAAATATTTGGCTCTATACCTAATGGATACAAAATAATTGCAGAATTGCCTAAAATTTGTAAATATTAGTAACGCCCACAATTCCTTATATGTGGGCGTGATTTCCGCATGACCATAAAAAAAAAGGAAAAAGAACTAAAAGAAGATAAATTGAAATCTTAGAACGTGAAAAATCATATCTGAACAAGACAAAATGGAAGATATGGGATTTGACAAAATATTATATATATACATATATATATATATCAAATATATACCAAATATATATATATATATATATCAAATATATATATATGTATATATATATCAAAAAAATATATACCATATATACCAAAAATATATACTATATATATATATATATCAAATATATACCAAATATATCAAATCAGATTCACATACTTGACAGATTGTGGGGTATTTTTCGATCAATTTTCGTCTTCCTGTTACCTGGTTTTCCGTCCAGGACGATTCACGCGAAAAAAATAAAAAAAAAAAATTGAAAGAATGTATACTTGAAATATACCGATCATATACCAACTGGAATGGAATGTGCTGATATATACTTGAAATATACCGATCATATACCAACTGTTACATAATTGAAGCATGTCCCAGCATGTCCCAAATTATATGATAAGTATATATTGTGTAAAGTATATGAATCTGATTAGTTTATTAATACTATATCACACTGTCATATACTTATCATATACTTATATATAACAAACATCTACTTAGCATAAGCTTGATAGTTGGAATAAATCCAATACTACTTAACATAACTTGACAGAGAATAACATTTTCAATATACTTGAGATAAGACCATTACACAAATGTGTCTACACATGGAATAAAATATCTCATATACTTTACATCAACTAGCCATATACTTGGGGAGGAAAAAAAAAGAAAAAATATGAAAAAATGGAAATGGGTTGGACACAATGACAGTGATATATACTTGAAATATACATATACCACATGTTAAATTGTAATATAACTAATATATCAAACATAAACTAATATGTACAATAACTACACATATACCTAGAATGTGCATATACTATACATATACCGTACATATACTGACCATACACTATGTTGTATAATGAAAAACCAAACATCGATTTTTCCACACCCAACCAACCATCTCCCTCAACCATGGAGACACCGCAACCCTCGACGAGAACGCCGATGAAAATTGAGGACATCATAAAACTCTTCCAAATGGTTTAAGCTTGGGATGCGCTGAAACATTCATGACGGATACACAGAATGAAAAATCCATCTCCGATCGTTATCCTCCGCCGCCATATCCTCCGCAAGCGCGCCCAGGAAAAATTAACAGAATCAGATGTTAAAAAACCAATAACTAAACTGTATTTTCTCCAGAAACTCCAATAAATATTCGACCAAGTTTTGATTAAAAAACAAAATTAAATAAAAAATATGTATATGAAAAAGCAGGCATCCTAACATTTAATAAAAAACAATGATAGCTAAGAAATATGATGTAATTGAACACTCAGTTAAAACAAAAGAACCCTTAAATCCATCAAACCTGAAAAGCAATTCAGAAAATTTGTACAAAGGCTTTTTAATCGAGCGGTTTACTTGATATGTATGGGCTTTGCCGGCGGTATTACCATTGGGTGGTGGGGGCTCCCTCGCCTTTCTCGACGGATGAAAGGTTCGCCTCAGGGAGGGAGAGAGACGAATACGAAGCGAGATGGAGGAGAAAGAGATACAGAGAGCGAGACGAAGAAGGAGAGATATATCATCCACCCGTAAAATCAGTAACTTTCATTTAATTATCTTAATTTATTTAAACGGTTAAGGCTTAGGTATATTTGCAATATTTTAGGCTTATTTTGGTACAATTATAAATATTATTATAATGAGTGTAGAATTGTAATATAATTAGGATTGTAAAGTAAGGGGTGCAAATTCCTCTTAATAGTTTGCCCTATACATGGGCCCAAGTCCATGGATATTGACATGCCATACAACTCTTCACTCTTTTGGACATCTGCATTCAAGTTATTTATTTAATCACCAAGTAGACTCTCTCTCTCTCTCTCTCTCTCTCTCTCTCTCTCTCTCTCTCATTCAACTAAACATTCTTCCATTTAAATACTTTTTCACATTCATTAAACTTGGGCATTAAATGGCGTGAGGTTCATTAAAATTTAACAGCAAGTGGCAAGATAATAAGTACTCCCTCCTATCTTTTTTAAATGTCTTTCTAGCTTTATCAATTATGTGTTAAATAAATGTCGTTTTAGATATTTTGTACATATTTTTCCATTATTACCCTCATTTAGGCCAATAAATACATTACGTCTTTTCATATTTACTCTTCACTTTTTCTCAAAACATTCATATCTATCTTCATTAAACTAGTACAGAGCTCGTTCGATGCACGAGGTGCACAATTTTAACACCATTTATCCAGCCTCATAATTATATAAATGAATAAAGAAAAATGTACGGTATATATATAATACGTGACCTGTGCGAGACACGGGATATATTCATTTGGGAAATATTTTATAAGATGCAATAATCAATAAAAGTTTTATAATACGCAGGAAAATTGTAAAAAAAAAAATAGTATTCGAAAAAGAAACAATCATGTTATCATCCGAATCGGTAAAACTACATTAAGAGATTCCAAACATCACATTCAGAGGAGAACAACCATTGAACCGACGTAATTTCAACACCACTCCGGTCCAGACGATGAACCGGACCGAATTACCGAAGACCGAAGTGGTCCGCGCCTACCGAAGTCTATTCAAACCGAGATCGCCACCTCCTTAAGCAGGTGACAAGGTGTCTACGTACAACCATTCTGCTCCACAAGATCCGTCATCATTCATGTGGGACCCCCCTGCTCCAAACCGCCCACAAAAAGTTACTTTATTCAAAAAGTAGTACACAGATCCCAATGTATCTATCCAAAATTACTATAAATAGTGAACCCATTACATTTGTACGGGGATCTCTCTCCGAACCGAAAAAACTTCATTAAACAACACGTAAAAGCCCATCACGGCTCTTCACCTCGGTTCACCTCGGACCGGGGCCATCGTTGAAGTTACTTTACATGCTTTACGTCCAAATCATTCATAATTCTCATCTTAATCACGTATTACATCGTTGTTAGAAATCGCATAACAACAAATCATATATTATGAAAGACCTACTTGTACACAACATTGTGAGTTTGATTATTAGACAACTCGTCATCCTCACAAACTAATATTTTCAACCCCTTCTATTAGTTACACGCGAAACAACAACATATAATTGCTCCCGTGTAGCATGATCTTAAAATCACCGGATGTCGAACGATACTTTCCTAGATTGTTGTCAACTTGGTAATTCTTGATACAAATAATTATGCCCTCCTCAAAATTCCTCTATCTAAACGCAGCCAAGTTGATTGTCCGTAGTCATGCCGCAATGCGATTTCCCTAAACATGTACAAAAAAGTAATCAATAAAAAATTAATTTTGTAGAAAATATAAATAATTTAAATATCTGAATACATACACGATAAAAATAAAGAAGCCAAATTTTAATTTTAAAACATAAAATTAGAAAAGTAGAAATATACGTTTTATAGTTCAATTTTTTTTTTTAAAAAAAAAATTAATAATAATTTGGCTTACAGTTTTATCATGAAGAATCAACTCGAGATATGATTTGTATGTGTTGCCCCGGTCTTGAAAAAAATATTCTTACAATTCGAGCATTCAGCATAGGCCTTTTATACCTATTAACTTGTTTGATTAAGTCAAATCATTGATTCATTATTTTGAATATAAGAATAACTGGTGAAATTTTTTTGTTCGCGTGAGGTTGATTGGGACAAAGACAATGGCTCAATATTTTGAGATTTGTAATTTATATTTGACCGATAGATACAATAGCGGTTCATATTTTTATAAAAAAATCTCATTATA